CCCCCCCCCCCCCCCCCCCCCCCCCCCCCCCCCCCCCCCCCCCCCCCCCCCCCCCCCCCCCCCCCCCCCCCCCCCCCCCCCCCCCCCCCCCCCCCCCCCCCCCCCCCCCCCCCCCCCCCCCCCCCCCCCCCCCCCCCCCCCCCCCCCCCCCCCGTATGTCTTTACCCCCTTTCATGCTGCCTCCTATGCCTGGATTGGCTTCTGCCTTTAAGCTCCTTTCTCCTGTCATTCTAGTTCCCCGAGAAGCCTTCCAGCACCCAGACAGTTCTGGGTCCTGCCCGACCCGGTCCCCTTTCCTTGTGGGCAGCTTCGTGTTCTTAGAGAAAGAGCAGCACTGAGAGCTTCTTTGTCTGGTTCTCAGGCTTGATTCTGCCAGTGTGTGTGCACGGCATTTACACTTACACCTGGGGCCTCCCGTGGAAACAAGGAGTCGTCTCAGGGCTTTGGCCCCTGATCTCATAGGGCTTGCTCTGTGGCTGGTACAGGTGGCTCTCTGTGTGCTCAGGAACAGAGCTTCCTGGGCAAAATTGATATCAGATTGTTTCCTTTTTTTTTAAAGATTGGCACCTGAGCTAACAACTATTGCCAGTCTTCTTTTTTTTTATACTTCTCCCCAAAGCCCCCCAGTATATAGTTGTATATTCTAGTTGTGAGTGCCTCTGGTTGTGCTATGTGGGACACCGCCTCATCGTGGTCTGATGAGCGGTGTCATGTCCATGCCCAGGATCCGAACCAGCGAAACCCTGGGCTGCTGAAGCGGAACGTGCAAACTTAACCACACGGCCACGGGGCCAGCCCCTGAATCAGATTGTTTCAAAGGGAGCTTGTGATTTAGAGAATCCTGGAGAAAGTCCTTTTTGATCAGAGAAGGATTCCTCCTTTGTTGACCATTCATCTATTTCATCTATTTGAATGATTTGGTTAAGACAGGAACACCACTCCTCCCCCCAGTCGCCAGTCCCCCTTTCTGATCCTGGACAGGAGCAAGTGGGAGGAAACCCTGGCAGCTGTGACAGGACCGCATGAGGATGGTGAGGCAGATACCAGGAAGGGTCAGATGTCCAGGCTTATGGAGTTAGTGTTACCACGTATGTGATGTGTGAGCATATTTTTACTGTAGGGCAAGAGTAAGCCAAGCCTGCATCACTCCTAATTATATCTGGTAGGTCATCCGGCCTCTGCAGGCCCTGGAAACTAATGGAGAATTTTAATAGCCAAGTCCAGGTCATCCCTAGAACATCCTGCAGCTTACGTGGCTTGTGTCTCGGTTTGGCCAAGGACAGGGCAGATCTGGGTATACAGACCTTCCTCAGATGGAAGGTTGAATTCATTGTTCATTTCATTGTTCATTGTGCTGTGAGGCCTCTCCTCACTCAGCCCAACCTCCTGGTGCCTCCCTGTTAGGGAGAAGGCCAGCTGAGGCCTCTGCCTGCCATGGAACTGCTAGCCTCCAGGAACCCTGTACAGTGTGTGATCTGAGAGCAGCGAGGCCCCACAGAGAGTAGTAGATTGTTTACAGCTACTGACCTGGGAGACAGTGTTGGTCTAGCACAGCGAATCGTTTTCATCAGTCTGAGCAGTCCGTTGGTTGCTTTGGAAAGGAGTAAGCTATCTCACTGGAAGGGTCCAAGCAGAATCCCCCACTCCACCTTCACCCCCAGAGACTTCGGAGGAATGATGTGCAAAATCCAGACTCTAGGGAGGTGAGGGCTGGACCTGTATGCAGGGGACAGCTGCCCACCTGGCAAACGCGGACAGGACTGAGCTCTAGAAATCCAGAACTCGTGCGTTTGCTGGGCTGATGTTTTCTTCAACATAATTGATGTTTTAAAATGGTTTGCCTTTGACAGTTATTACTTCAAGGAATTTTCCCTGGTTATCTCTATCCCAGTTGATTTCTCCCTTTCTTTGTGTTCTGTAGCGTCTTATATACAATTTGGAATGAACTTTTGAGGGCCTCTTTTTGTTTTTTCCTTGTTTTTTCTTTCATGGTTCTCATAATAAACTTGTGTAGCACGGGAGAAAAAAGCATGATTTGTCAGGCAGATTAATAAGTAAAATTCTGAAGGGACTGCTTATCCAGACTCAGAAAATAACCACCTGTAATCTGTCTTTTCAGAAGTAACATTTCCTTGAAAATCATTGCATTTCAGACCTTCTTACCTGGTTGCTGCAGGGCTCTGGTGACACTGTTAACCTAGCTCAGGTTTGTATGTATATTTGTAAGTTATCTAGGTGTCTCCTGAACAGCTTATAATTCTAGCTCACCCCCCCCCCCCGATAAATGGATACCTTCTTGTTTGAATAATGAGATCCAGACAAGACAAATCAAACATATGTTATCAAAACAAAGACTGCGCTCATTTGTTTGCACCCCTCTCTTGCCCCAGCATCATCTTATTCCAGGCCCGTGTCACAGGACCACACCCTTTAGTGGAGGGGAGGTAGGGGAATAAAAGGAGTAGCCACCCCTCACAGCCCGACTCTGGCCATTTGAGAGTTGCTAGGAATGGAGCAAGAAAGAGAAAGGGGGGGCTGTGGGCTAGGTTCAGCCTTCACCCTAATTGTTCCATCTCATGGGCTCAGCTTACTCCCATTATTGAAAACAGTTTGCCTGCAAGCATCTTCATGTGCAGTTTCTTAGATAGCCACAAGGTGAGGATGTGGCTCCATGGAAGTCTCTGGCTCAGCAGGACTTGGTCACCCATCCCTCAGTCCCTCCAGCCAGCTCTTCCCTCGTCTACTTTGAGTGCCTGTCTGTTTTGTAACTCATTCCCGAGCTGGTTCATGAAGGGCTTGGGTTCTGGAGTCACACGGTCTTGGATCTGAATCTCTCTGAGCCTTGGTGTCCCCCTCTGTGAAATGAGGGTAAGAGGCTGGCACTCGCATGCTGCTGGTGGGAGTGTAAATCGCTGCCATGCACAGAGGGCCACTGTACCCTGTGCCTCAGCAGTTCTGCTTCTGGCTGTTTATGCCGTGGGTGTGCTGGCGTGCGTGCAGGTGATGTGTGCGTGTTACTCACTGCAGCATTGTTCGTCACAGCAAAAGACGGGAAGTGACTCCAGTCTCCACCGGGGAGGGACTGGTGAGGTAAGTTAGAGTACATCCTTACAGTGGGCTGCAGTACTGGGCAGTGAGAAAAAGGACGAGGAAGCTCTCTGTGTATTGCTAAGGAAAAATCTCCAAGATATTTTGTTTAAAAAAAGAAGAAAAAAAGACAGGAGAGTGAGGTTCTGAGCAGTGTCCTGTAGCGTTTGCTACTTTTGTGTAGAGAGAGGGAAGGGTTAACTAGGTCTTTGCGTTTGTCTGCATCTGCACTGGGAGATGAGGGGACGCGCAAAATTAATGAGACTGGCTGTTTTTGTGGGAATATCTAGTAGTAAGTATTTTCCTTGGTTATACGGAAGAATTGGCTGCTTTTTCTCCCCCTGTTGGAGTCCATTATTCCTCGCAAGATGACTTGTCACAGTGACTCTGTCATGCACATACTCCCTCCCCGTGACACTGACGGCACTAGCTGACACTCGCTGCACACTCTGCAGGCACTGTCGTCATGCCCTGCACACACCACCTCACTTAGTGAGGGATGGGGACGGGGGCAGAGGCAGACTTAGTCCACAGTGCATTTTAAGTTTGAACCACATATTATCTGTCCAAAGAAATTGTTTTTCAGCTTAGTTCCTGCCCCTGGTGGTGGTTGTGAGAAGTAAATGAGAGTACATGTGAGGTGTATGTTCTTCTCTGGGGTCGCCTCTGAATGGGTCTGGGGCCTCGAGTGCCCAGGCAGCCGGGCAGGGCCCGCTCGTGTTCGGGTAAGGGCAGTCTCAGGTGACATGCTGTTCCCACCCAGCCCTGTTGCCCAGTGTGCAAGCTGAGCAGATGAGCCCGCGTCCATGGCCGCCTCCACCTTGTCAGGCTTCCCTGCTGGCGCCAGCTCCTCCTCTTGCCATCACTCCTGCTCCCAGGCTCTGAGGAAACAGGCTATTTCTGCCCAGCTTTTCCCTCTGAGGTTGGCCCAGTGCACTCCAGGCGGCCACCGAAACCCTGGGCACTTGCTCCTTACCCGCCTTCCAAACCCTCCTGGGGTTCTCCTCCTGCCAGCTTTCTGGCTTTCCAGCCCCAGCCCAGCCCAGCCGTGCTCCCGGCAGCAGCCCTTGCCTGCACATGTAGGCTGAGGGGTCTCCCTGTGTTGTCACTAAAGCTCTTACTGGAACAGCCCTATTTTCAGCTCCAGCTTCCAAATCGTTCCTTCCTCCCTCCCTGAGCACTCACCCTGGTTCTCCCTTGCCTGGCAGCGGCTGCCTGGTGTGCTGCTCGCTTGCTTGTTAGCATGTTAGCGTACTTGCTGTCTCTCGCTTGCACGCGCTCTCTCCCTCTCCCTGTCTCTGTCCCTCTCTCTCCCTCTCCCCCTGCCCGTCCCCCTCCCCCCCTCTCTCTCTCACACTTGGAATGAGAAGTCCCCATCTGCTCCACAGCCTGAAGTGTGGTTTCTGGCTTTGAGAGGGTCCTCCTGCCTCCTCTGCTGGGCACCAAGGGAGCATCCTGGGCTCGGCCAAGGCCTGAGCCTGCCCTGACTTTCTGTTTTCTAGAGCAGAGTGGTCAGAGCCAGGCCAGAGTGCCTGCTGACCAGGGCATTGTGACAACAGAACCGGAGGGCCCAAGCCAGGCCCCTTACTCATTGGGGATGGGCCGAAGGGACAGGGACGAAAAGGTGATTTTAGGCAGGACCAAGCCTTGTCTCGGATTGGACCTGCATTGTCCCTGCTGGGCACCCGCTGCTGGGCCTGGTACTGGCCCCGTAAAAGCAGAGGACAGGATGATGGTTCCTGCATCTCCTTGTGGAAGGTCTAGAGCCAAGGAAAAGCTGGACCTCTTTTCTTCTCTGAGGAAGAAGCCACGTTTGTTCTTTTTTTCCTTTGGCTAAAAAAGTGTTTGTCTTAATCATTAAAAAGCAAGGTCTCCTGGACACAGATGCAGAAAACTTATCTTTTTCTTTCTCTTTCCCATTTTGTAGGGAGCTGCAGGTTTCAGGGGGCGTCTTCAGGGGACCTACGGACATCTCAATGGCCCTGGGAGAAGAAAAGGCAGAGGTAGAAACATCTGAGGACACAAAGGCCCCATCCTACAGGAGGTGGAGCTGCAGGGAGCAGGAGGTGGGCACCCCAGGGCCCGTGAGCGGGGAGCAGCTGCCACGCCTGGAAGCTGAGGGAGGGCCCGCCTCCCCTGTGTGGCGGGCAGAGGGGCTCCCTGTCACTGCCTGCTGCGGTGGGGCCAGCCCTGGTCCCTCTGGAGCCTACCAGCCGCAGGCCAGTGACGCCAGCTGGGAGCCTGGTGGCTCCAAGCCTGTGTTCGGTTGCCTGCTTCCTCCTACCAGCATGGGGACTGGAGACCTTTCGCACTCCGTGGGAAGCCAGGTAGGTACTGAGGTAAATGGGACTGTGGGTTTACCTAGTGCTGTCCTTTTGGAGCATGTCCCGGCATTTTCTCACCATCTTACATGCTTTCCCAGCCCCTGCACAAGGTGGGGAATTGGGCGAGCTTGGGTGTGATGATCTGTTTTATAGGTTCACCTGGAGAGCAGGGCCTTGGGGCCAGCAGGGTCCTCTGTCCACAGCAGCTCCTATTCCTCAAGAGTGTGACTGGTGACCTTTTGAGGACTGGGGATGGTGTGGCCAAGACCTACTGCCCAATGGGCCAGCCAGAGGAGCTCTGACAGGGCGAGCCACATCCTGTTTCTGACTCAGTGATCTGAAGGCTCCGGGGCCCTAAGGAGACTTGGGGAAGGAGGGTCCAGGGCTTTCTGCTCCTGAGGCCTCTGAGACTGTATCTCCTGGGGACCCAGGGAACCTAGCAGAGCTGTGGAGCCCATGTAGTAGGCAGTACTGTCCCTGGGCAGGGAGAGTTTCTTGGGCCTCCCTGACTGCAGGGCGGCCTTGCCTGGTGGGAGTCACATGGAGCAGAGAGCCCTGCCTGGCTCTGTGACCTCAGACAAATCACCAAATCTTTCAGGCCCTCAGCATAATTGGGAAGGTGACTGAATGACCTGTCCTTCCCAGCTCTGACGTCCTATTATGTTCTGCTTGCCAAGGCCTTTTGTGGGAATGGCTTGATCTCTTCAGTATCATTGTGGGCTTGGCAGCTGCGTGCTGCCCCTCTGGAGCCCCATCCTGTGAGGAGGCTCTGAGCAAGATGGTCTGGGAGGAAACAGAAGCTGGGCCCACCTGCCTGAAAGCCGGGGGCCTAGGGAGGCTCAAGGCACCCATGAGTCAGAGATTGAGTGAGGCAGGAAGCAAATCAGCAAACACAGAAGTGGGCCGCTTCATGAGTCTGCGTCTGGTGTGCACATAAAGCTCTCGCCCTGTGCTTTTCCCACATGAGCTCACATAATCCTCAGGTCCTGAGGAAGTGGTCCTCTGACTATTCCTGTTTTACAGGTAAGGGAAGTCAGGCTCAAAGTCACATATCTGGAAGGTGCTTGGCGTCAGGTCTGTCTGGTTCCAAAGCCCATGCCCTTAACCACGGTGCCGTCCTGCCTCCCTTGGGGAAAGTTCTTCCTGGAGCAGAGTAAAGATTCAGAGTGAAGAGGCTGAGATGAACGACTCATTTTGCCAGTGTGCAGTTAACACTGGCATCTGAGCTGAGCCTGGTGGAGCCTGGTGGGTCACCTGCCTGCTGGGTTTGGATGTGTCTCCTGTCGGTGACAGAATGATTGAGGTTTCGTCTGCCCAGGACACACTTGTCAAAGGCGAGGCAGTGGGTTCCATCTTCACATGACAGAGCTGTCTGAGCTCTGCTCACTGGCAACTGGGTGTCTGTGGAGGAGGAACCTTTGACAGGACCGAGTGGGGGATCAGTTGGGGAAGACAGTCTGCTTCCCAGAGCAGGGTGACCTTGGTGCCGGCCACTAGCAGCGCACTCTGTCTGATTCTTGCATCAGGAGCTGACTCTTGATTTCAGGACCTTTCCCGAACATCACCTGGGCCCCCCAAAGAAAACTCCGAGTTGTCATCTAAGAAAGACATTCAGTTTGCCTATTTTCCCCTGAGTGTTCTTTCTTCCCTCTTATCATTGCAGATGGAGGAGACCAGGCTTTCTGCCTCAGAGGAGCTACCTCAGACCCTTACCGTTCCCAGAGCCACAGCCCTTTGCTCAGGACATGATGCTGACACCGAAGAGGACCTGTCCCCAGTTGAGTCACCCCGGGTGCTGGACCTCAGCCAACAGCCTCACATCTCAGGTTTCCCTTTCCCGTCAAGGTGGAGGTCTGGGGTGAGCCCAGGTGCTGCTGCTCCGCAGTTTTCCAGCTGCAGCGGCTCCGCCTCGTCCCCCGGCAGCAGTCTCCAGGGTCACCAAGAGAAGGCGGAACCTCGAAGTTGCTCCCTTGCCAAGGTCTCCTCCCTGGAGCTGGTCGTCCCCCAGTCAGCCCCCTCTGTGGGGCGGCCAGGGCCTCGGCTCCAGTGGTCGCCACAGCCTGTGTTCTCTGGGGGTGATGCTCCTGGGCTGGGCAGGAGGCGCCTCTCCTTCCAGGCTGAGTACTGGGCCTGCGTGCTGCCGGATTCCCTGCCCCCTTCCCCCGACCGCCACTCTCCCCTCTGGAACCCGAATAAAGAGTATGAAGACCTCCTGGACTATACTTACCCACTGCGGCCCAGGCCTCAGCTCCTGAAGCACCTTGACAGCCATGTGCTGGCTGACCCTGTCCTGCAGGACTCAGGTGTGGACCTGGATAGCTTCTCTGTTTCCCCAGCAAGCACGCTGAAGTCACCCACTAATATCTCCCACAGTTGCCCACCAGCAGAGGCCACTGCCCTGCCATTCTCAGGGCCCAGAGAGCCGGACCTTAAGCGGTGGCCCTCTGGAATACCCCAGAAGCAGGGTGGCATGGGGCTGGCGTCTCGTAGACTGCTTGCATCTACCCCCAGAGCCCCAGGCAGTACAGATGCTCCTTGGGAGAGCAAAGAGCCAGCCCTGAGGGGCGTGAGGGACTGGCTGCCTGTGGGCAAGCACCTTGAGGTGGGCCTTCCCCAGCTGAAGACATGGGACAGAGGGTGGCCTTCACCCGGGCCAGAAAGAGAGAAAGGGACCAGCCAGAGTATCCGGCACCGTGCCTGCATGGACTCTGGATGGAAATCAGAGGAGGAGGTGGAAAGTGACGACGAGTACCTTGCCCTGCCCACTCGGCTGACGCAGGTTTCTAGCTTGGTTTCTTATCTAGGTTCCATTCCTACTGTGGTGACCCTGCCCACCGGGGCTCCCAAAGGGCAGAGCTCCCTGGACGTGTCAGACAGTGATGGGCCAGCTTCCCTCCCATCGGACTCCAGCCAAAGCCAGCTTCCCTCCAGGCCTGCCCGCAGAGGGTCCAGGGGCCCTGAGGGCCAGAACCACTGTTTGCTGCGCTCCTTCGTCCATGCAAGGGACTCTGCAGTGACAGGCGGTCTGGGGAGTGGCCAGGCCCTGGGGGTCTCCTCTGGACCGCTGAGAACATGTTCCTGCTTGCCAGCTATGTTGGACCGGCGGGCATTCTCAGATCCAGATGCTGACGGGCAGCCTCCCCGGAGAGGAGGAGAGCAGGGAAAAGAATCACTCATGCAGTGTGTGAAGGTAAACTCAATGTTTAAGAGGCTTCGTGTAGAGGCGTCTTGTCTCCTCTTCCCCCAGTCCATTAACATCATCATAAAACGTAGTAACACTGAGCACTTTTCATCTGGCAGGCACTGTACTGCACCTTATGCTGTTCAGTCCTCACAGCTCTACCCGGTTAGCTATTGTTCTCATTTCACAGTTGGAGAAGAAGGCAGCGAGAGGTGAGGTTACTGCACACTCACAATTAGCAAGGGCTGGAACCTGAGCTCTAGACCCCTGCCCCAGGCTGCTCTGCAAGGCTCCTGACCTTGAGGCCTGAGAGGTTCTCTGCACAAAAAGGGCTTGTGCTCAGATGCCTTCAGGAAACACTGGGCTAAACAAAATGAGTGCTTGCTTGACTGCAGGGCTTCTCAGAGCTTCCTTCTGATGACGTGGGGTAACTGCAGAGTCAGGGGCGTTAGATGTGCCGTGGCCACCGAACCTTCTCTTGTGGGCCACCTCTGAGTATCCAGAGATAGAATGAATACTCTGCAGCCTAGTGTCGTCAGTGTCAGGCAGATCTGCATTTGAATCATGGCACTGCTGTCTCTGAATTTTGGCTCAGTCCCTGAAAATGGAGAGCCTTCCCTCCTTGGGATGTGTGGATAAATGGAATCATTTGCGTCAAGGGCTTTGCACAGCCCCTGGCGCAGCATCAGGAGTGTGGCTCCCCACACACTTGGAGAGCCACACAGGCTGCCTCCTGGCTGAGCACATGGACACTGAAACCACACCGCGGCAGGGCTGTGGGCCAGAGGGCCGTGCCCCATGAGCCCACACCCCAGACATTTCCTAGCACTGGAAGGGGGCTTTCACCTGCCCCGTGGATTATTTTATTTGCCCTGTGAAGCGGGTAGGATGGATGTTAGCCTGTGCCCTCTTTTATGATAAAAGATTGAGATACCATGAGGGAAAGTGTTTGGCTCAGACTCCCCTGGGTGTGCGGCTGGCAGGAGCCTAGGGCCCTGGCTCCCTGGGCAGTGTGGGAGAGAAGAGGGACAAGCAGTTTGAATTTGGTTGTTTGGCTGCAGGTTCAGGTTAGGCACGATTATAGTCACTGATTTTCTGTTCCCATTTTCCCCATGACAATTCGGTAGTTAGCAATGGTGCTGATGTGAGAACTGGTTTCTGTGTACCTCTTCTGGGCTGTTCCCATCCCTGCCCTTACCTTAGCTGCTCTAGTCCCACATGCAGGGCTGGCCTTTCTCAGCCTGTCGTTTTTGGTGTCCCATCAGGCTGAGGGGATACAGAGCCAAGGTGGGGCTCTTCCTCTTGCCTTGGTGGAAGTCTGGAGTCATAGGGTGGGGCCAGTCAGGGCAGGAGAGAGGAGACTAAGGCTTCCAGTGAGGGGAGCTTAGAAGGGTGCACAGGCTGTTTCCAGGAACCCCCTGGATAGTTGCAGTCTTGAAAATGTAAACAGCAGTTCGGTCAGTAACCCCGTGTGTTCTTCTACTTGTCTACACAGACATTTTGCTGTCAGCTAGAAGAGCTGATCCGCTGGCTGTATAACGTAGCAGACGTTACCAACCACTTGACTCCAGCCAAGTCCAATCTCACAGGTCTCAGGTCTTCTCTGCAGCTTTACCGGGTAATGTGTGGTCCTGGCTTCTGGCTGCCCACTCACCAGAGTGGTGGCTAAATTACTTGATTACCAAGTAAATTCTTAAATCACAGATGCTTGGTATGTTGTGGCTCAATTGACGGTTTCACCTGAAATCTAATCAGAGCTCCCTTTTCAAATTCTTAATGCTGAAAAACTGTAAAATGTATGTTATTTCCCAGGCCAAATAGAGTTTGGAGAAAATATATTTATGCTCAATCAAAAATACTTAAGTGTGATTTGCAGTGTAATTTTCCAAATGTCTCAGGGATTGATAAGCATCGCTCTGCACTGTTACGGAGTCACTATCACACAGGGCTGTTTAAGTAAAGTTATCCATTCCGACTTCTCAGCTGCACTGGCCACACTGGACTGAAAGTTCCAAGTGTTGGATCATCACATTTATCTAGTGGCCGCCATACTGAACAGTGCAGCTACTGAACATTCCCATTGTCACCGAAGGTCCTATCAGACAGCACAGACTGGTATTCAAGGATTTGAGTGGAAATCATACTGACTCCAGACAATACACAGGGCATTGTGATGATATTTAAACAAAAATACAACTTGATTAGCTTCTTGGTATGTTTTGGTTTTGGGGTTTTTTGCCTCTTTTTCATTCAGGTTTTGTTATTTTAAAAATCTCTTTAATTTCGGCTTCTGGGTAACTTGACTTAAGATCAGATGTATTTAGGGTAACGGTTTGTGCCTGCTATTCCGGCATAATTATCAGTAGATCCCCCTTCATTCTGCGAAGTGTTCTGAATTGGATGATGTACAGTTGCCCAAAGTATAACATTAACTTGACTGAACTGCCTGCCGACTTCTAGCATGTCTGGTTGGCCAAGCCTTTCTAACCTCTTGTGAAGGAGCAGAGGTGATATTTGTGATCTGAGCCCAGTGCTACTCGAGAAAGGGTTTCCTAGGACAGTTCTTTGAATTTCTACCACCATCTATAACCTGACCATGTGCCTTCAGAAGAAGAGGGTGATTTACACGTGCCTGGGCCAGGGCCAAACACCCTGGCCTGACTGCAGCAGAGGGACTTTGTTTTTCAATGTGAAGCCAACTAAAATTTAGGGGAGGGGCCTGGCCGGGGTGTGCCAGCTGCCATACCCTAGTGGGAATGCTGTTTCCTGCTGGGTGGAGCAGGATTGCCATGAGTTCCTTGCCTGGAGTGCACTTGAGGCAGGAGAGGAAGGCTGAGTGTGAGGTCTTTGTGTGTAGCCCCCGAGTGCATGCACATAGCAGTGCAGGGCCCACCCCCAGGAGGCCCAGGGGCAGTACCACTGCAGGCGCTGGAACTGCCATCCTTAGACTTACCTGGGTGGCCTTTCCAGGGTGCCTCAGCCCCGCCGCCATCGGAGCGGGTATCAAGTAGAACAACTCCATTCCCTCCATTTGTCTGTCATTCTGTCCTTTGCCTCAACTTCCAGGCTAGCCAGAAGCAACTATCTTGCTTTGTGGGTAGAGCCGAGATCTAAGCTGGGAGTTACCCCTGTGGGTCAGTGAAGCCTAGCCCTCTGCTGTCACCCACACAACTGTGTCACAGAGTAGGACTATACTGCCAACCCATTCCCCACCCAGAATGGTGCATGGCTCATGCATATGTATGAGCTACCTTGACCCCTGCTTAGATACCTAATATAAGCAAGTGTGTGTGTTCACATATTTTAACCGTGACTCTGTCTCATATACTCACAGTTTGTCTTAATAACACAGTGAGTTTGTGGCAGCATATAAACTACGGAGTGCTAAAGAATAAAATAATAGGCAAAGGAAAAGTGAAGACAGGAACATAGTAAATCCAACAGTAAAATCCTAACTTCAGAATGTGAACGGCCAAGTTCTGCACACTGTACTGAAGGTGGGCATGGATTTGACTTTACATTTCTTAGCAGCTAAAGGAACATCAAAAATAGTCAGCTTGGTAGTGATGAGGGGAAAACAAATCAGCTGCTTAGGAGACTCACAGAGGCTTCTCGAGGCCTGTCCACATAGAGGAGGACATGGAGGCAGGACTCGGTGGAGGCGGCGGCTCCCTGTGATCAAGTTCACAGCATCTCTTTTGTGGTTCTTACACGTCCATTAGAAGAGAAGACTGTGTTTTGAGAATCCCATAGGCCTGTGAGTTCTAAGAGAAGCCAGTGAGATGTGGCACAGGAAGGAAACCCTGACTTTAGGCTGTTCATGAGCCAGGCTCTGCCAGGGAAAAGAAAACTTTTGTTAAATTGTAAAAAAGGATTGACTCTGTATGTACCTTTGATTCAAAGAAGGTGAAGTTAAACTATTGCACTGTTTACTTGGGGAATTCTGAAGACTGAGTGGGTTTATCTTCCACATTGGAGGGCAATCAGGCTCCCTGCAAGGGATCATTTTGAGTAACTTTTACAAAACGATAGTAACAAAGCTTTCTTCTTTTTTTTTCCTGATATGCTTTAAGCAATTTAAGAAAGATATAGATGAACACCAGTTCCTGACGGAGAGTGTCTTACAGAAAGGAGAGATTCTTCTCCAGTGCCTGCTGGATAATACTCCAGGTAAGATGCTTGGGGTTTTGATTTAGCCAGCGCTTAATCCCTCTTGGCAGCAGGTCCAGTGACCCGCGTGTCACTGGTCAGGAGCCCCTCCCATATGCACCCATTGTCTTAGATTTCCTGACTGTCTGCCAGCCCCTCACATCCTCACTGCCCTGGCAGCCACACGGTGAGGCCATGGCAGTCCTAAAGGTAAGCCGAGTGGAAGTTAGGCGTCAAGCCTGCAAGAACAACATTTTTGCTTCTGCTTTTATTTTTTCCTGATGGGCTCCTGGGTGGGAATGCTGGTTTTAATCCAGACGTCTTTGGTTTTCCGCTAGGGTGTTCACAGTGGGGAGCCCTCAGAGACTCCCCCCTTTCCCAGCACAGGTTGAACCCCTCTGTAGTTCTCTGCTTTGGAGAAGGATTTGTTTCAGGGTGGGAGAGCAGTTGGTCTGTTCTGTGGGAATAGCCTGAAGGATGAAATGAACTGATAGAGCGAGCACAGGTGGACAGTGGTGCTCAAACTGGGCTCAAGCCCCTTTTGCAGGGTGGGTTCCCAATTTAGAAAATGTAAAAATCATAGACTTCAAGAGTATGTCTAAGCACGCAGGGTACAAGGATTTACAATTGGTGTTGTCCTTGCTGGGGGCGGATATAATGAGGAGGATGAGCTAGAGGTTAGGTTGAAGCAGTAAACTGATGGGCCCCCCAAATCAGCCCCTCATTTTTCCTTTAAGACTGAAGAACCAAGTGCTAAAAGAGCCTGTCGTATTATGCCTCAGTTTTGGAGTGAAGTGGGGTTTACACTGGAAGCAAACAGCATAAGCAAAGCTAGGCAGAACCCACAGGCTTGAGAGGCAATGAGGTTGCACTTGCCTGACCAAAAGTGGGGGGCGGGTACTTGTTATGGAGGTGGCATACAACAGCTTCTCAAGCTCAGGACAACTGACATTTTGGCCTGCAGGATTCTTTGTTGTGAGGACTTGTCCTGTGCATTGCTTGATGGTCAGTAGCATCCCTGGCCTCTACCCATTAGATGCCAGCAGCACCTCCTCTCCAGTTGTGACAACCCAGAATAGCTCCAGATGTTGCCAGATGCCCCCTTGGAAGAAGAATCACGGGGTTGACAACTGCCCTCGGGGATAGGGAGCCCTGAAGGGCTTGCAGCAGGGCGGTGATTATCCAGTGTGAGTTATGGGAGCCATCCGCCCGAGCCCCTGCCTTGGGGAGGACTTTGACTCTTCTGGTGTTCTCTTGCACTAGGGTTTTTTGGTTTTTATTGAGGCAGAAATTCAATATGCCAAGCTTCTTTACACCAGCATTTTACTGAACACCGTGTGCCAGGCGCTGAGCTGAAGCAGTTGACATATCAATTATTTTTCCATTTAATCACAGCTCTGTGAGATGGATACTATTATTACTCTCACCTCACAGAGTTGTGAATTTGCCTGGGGCCACACAAGGAGTGGCGCCCTGGCTTGAGGCCCCCAATGCCGGCTCCCAGGCTGCCCTCAGTATCTGGAGGTGCAGGGGCCTGAGCAGGAAGGGAAAGAGCTCAATAATGGAAGCTCTTCCGGAGGCCACATTAACAGTGGGCCTTGTAAAAGCTACAGGTTCTTTGACTGTCATTTAAAAATCAATGAAGTAATACTTCTCAGTGCTTAATCTGTAATAAGAATATCCGACTTTGCCCTTCTCTTAAAAGGAGTCTAAAAGTATTTTACTGCCAAAAGAAGAGGCTTTTGGGTTTTCTGTGGTTTTCAGATATGTATCCAGGCTCTTTCAGATTGACACTCTGCCGCTCCCCATCCTTGCTTGGAATAATTGCTATTGTGAAAATCACATTTCCTTGACATTCACAGGGTCTCTCCAGTTAGGTGCATGGCTGTTCTCCTTTCTCCAGAGCACCCTGCCAGGCTCACTAGAGCCCAAGCACAAACACTCCTGTCCAGCTTCCTCAGAGCCTGCTTTCTTCCTCAGCCACGAATATCACCTTAGGGATGGGAAGCCAAATTAATTCCCCCTCTAAAATGTCTCTATGTCAGCCTCCTGCCAAAGGCCTCCCCACAGAAATCTGGCAGATTTTCACTACATTTTGACCCAGTTACAAGTTGACGATCCTGTCTCACACCCAGACTCCTTATACTGATCAAATGACTGGAACCTATTGACATTAAGCTGAACCAGGCCCCTGTATGCATGTGTTCAAGTAAAAGATGAGTCTCACTGGGAAAGGCTATTTCATTCCCCTTCCCAGCTTTCCTCTCACATGGCCCCAACCAAATAGTCTAACATTGTAAAATAAAAGTTCAGTGAAATAAAGGTTCCCTGAATTCCACTGACCACACACAGGAGGATGAGCAAAGGTCTGGTGATGGTGGAGGGGAGAACCCAGCCCGGTCACCCTTACAGGCGAGCTGTACCACACACCCTTGCTGCATTCCTCTGCCAGCCTGGCCAGCTCTCGTGAGTGGTCAGGATGGCACTTTGCCCTGATGCTGCTGCAGTGATGCGGCTTCCCCAGGGGCTGATCTCAACACAGGCAGCCTGTGTTCCTTCTCCTTCTGCCCATCCGTCAGCATCCTCTGCAGATAGGCAGCTTCCCCTTTCCTTTCCGCTGCTGGCAGACATTGCAGCTGTGGCAGGAAACTAGGGAGAGTGTTAGCACAGCTGATAAAGGCACAGGAAGCTAAAGCAGCCTTTGAGTTCAACAAAGGAAATCGTTTTTAAGAGAAAAACACAACTGTGCATTCTGAACCTAGCCCATCCCTTCCTCAAATGAACCCTTGGCCTCACTAACCATCTTGTCTTAGCCTGCTTTCAGATAACTTGCTTTTGAGTTTGTTCATTTAGGACCCACAAAAAAGGGTTCACAAGCATTCCCAAATACAATACCAGACACCCATTTACATGCTGACACTCCCCCAGCCAAAAGCAGCTGATAGGACCTGGTAGCAGGACCCAGCGTCCGAATCTTGGCATGTTGTTTTGTTTCATTTAAGCCTTCTGCCCCACAGGATCTCCATGTGCCCTGTGCCTTCTCTCTAAAAGTCAGATAATACCTACCAGTCCCCAGAGAACCATGTTTGTGTCTCCTTTTGTAAATTATGTACAGTCATGCGCCACATAATGATGTTTGGGTCAATGACAAACTGCATATACGACAGTGATCCTATAAGATTAGTACCATATAGCCTAGGTGTGTAGTAGGCTACATCTTCTAGGTTTGTAGTAGGCTACACCTTCTAGGTTTGTGAGTACGCTCTCTGATGTTCGCATAATGATGAAATCACCTAACGATGCTATTCTTGTCATTAAGCAGTACATGACTGCAATTTCAAAGTGGAGCCACTGAAATTCTTCTCTCAGCTTTAATCAGAAGTTAACAACATAGATCCCTCCAGTACAACAGCAGTCCCCTGGAGAGTGACTGTTTAAAAAGAGTGGACATTCTTAGACTATTACCATGGTCCTATTTTATGTAAAATGCTACACCCTTGTATGTTCTTTTGAAAATAAACTTGGATGATTTTTTTGGCCTAATTGCTTTGAACCTCATTTGTCAGTGTTAAAGGATGTCCTCAGGAGGATCTCGAAGCAGCCCAGTGAGCTAGAGAGCCACGCAGATCACCTGTATGACACTATCTTAGCCTCTCTGGACATGTTGGCTGGCTGCAACCTCATCCCTGACAACATGCCAGTGACACACAGGAGCGCCGACGTGAAGGGGATTAGCCTGGTAAGGAGAGGAACCCAAGAGAAGAAAATCTGTCTGTAGACCCCAGTGCTGGATTAGGGTATTGAGCTCCTGCTCTAACAGTTGGCTGTTTCTTAGAAGCTTGTTGAGCTAAAGAAATGAGATGCTGGGAGAAGCCCCTGATACTGAAAAGGGAGTTGCTACCATTGCCAGGAAGAAGGCTGGGGGTCTTTCTATGATGATGAAGGCTCACCTGGGTACTTTCCATTACTCAGTTTCACCCCTGCTCTAGACTAGGGTGCCCCAGGCTCCCATTTATGACAGTCCCTTTACCACCACTCCAGCCACTCAAGGAAAAGAGTGGCAAAACCTACCTTTTTATTTTTGCATGTGTACGGTTCTCCTGTATAGTGCTGTCATGTTGCCCCCTGTTCTGCTGGCTCTTCTCACCCAACTAATTTGGTACTCCAACTGCAAGCAACTCCTGACAGCACCAAGTGCCTGCAGAGACCCAGAGTTACAGATAACTCCCTGCGCCTCCCTTTCCCACAGAGGGCCTCTGCAATTTCTCATCCCACTCCCTTCCCAAAAGGGCTGGGGGATAGATTGGGGTAACAGGCCTTAGAGACTTAATAGTACAACTCTCTTTTGATCTCTGGGAAGGCCAACCAGGGAATGAGAGCGAGCTGGGCTAAGAGAGCAGAGAGGGTTCGTGCCCACTGTGGGGTTGCCACTGCCCAATGTTCTTTATGATTCCACAGCTGGACCATACTTCTCTGAAATTCCTCTCCTATAACCAAAATATGGTGCTTGACACAGATTTTCTAGGCAAGAATTCACTGTAGATAAAAGAAAGTAAAGGATAAAATCCAAGGATGTCAAGAGCAGGGAGTCCCTGTGTTTTCATGGAAGGAATTTGAGCAATATTAGAAAGTAAAATTTTAGTTCTAAAACGAACGGAGGTTGTCATTTCTTCCTCTGCGGCATTCTGCCTATAACAGATGCTTCTCTTTCTCTTTCAGGCATCTTCTCAGGCAGAGATGTAATCTGTCAGCCCGAATCTGGCTGGTGGGAAACTTTCAGGAAGTCCTTGTAAGAGCCATTTAACACTGAAATCAAGGGGGAAACTTCACGAATGTACTAGCTTTAAAATGCCTTTCTCTTCCCTGAAGTAAGGGCCACTGCGTTATTATTTTTATTTAAAATGAATCCTTCCAAACTACCATTTTCCTTTGGTGCTTCTCTACAAAGAGCATGTGGCTTTGCAGTTTTTGATAAAATAATGCTAACAGGACTTAAAGGTCTTTCCTCCCCCCACCCCATTCTAGTTAAAAAGGGCAGACAGAGCTCCTAAACTAGTCCATCTGCTGAGATCATTTAAAGAAGGCTGGTATGAGAAAGGTGGTACCAGATACTTGGTATTCTCAGGCATACAAGATGACCCAAGAGACTGAAAAAAGTGAATGCTTGGCTGGGAACTTGGGTCTTTTCAGAAAATGAAGCTTATGTTTATAAATCCCTCTTTGAAGGTTTTAGAAGAGACTTTAACTCTCCGAAGAAGGTTCTAAACAAAGTGAACCTCTACAAATTATTTTGGGCTGTTAGGACACCTTTTGTCATCTTCAGGGTTGGCTGCATCTGCCTGCCTAACTAATATCTTAAAGGAAAATGTGTGAGGGACTTAGGAACTGCCCCTGAGCTCCGGCAGGGCTACAGACTAATCATCCACCTTAAGGGTACGTCTAGGAGGATGCAGCCCTCCAGCCCTCCGTTCCTCTTCTTCCTTGGAAGAGTATCCAAGGTCAGGGAAGGGCATGGATAGGAGCACACAGCCTGATTACCTAAAGAAACTAAGGCTGTCAATAATAAAGGAAAAAAGGGAATTCTGTGTAGCTTAGGAGTTGACATCTAAGTACCTTGATGGAAAAAAAGAATCTATGGATCAACCACTTGAAGCACTGATTTTATATCTTTTCAAAGCAAAATGCTCAGCTCTTGCTAGTAACCACAGATTCTGCAAAAACAAAAAAGCACTTAAAAAAAGTTCTACTGGGCCATGTTTATGGAAGGAGGAAAGCACATTTTTTTCCCATCTATTTTTAGTATTACAATAGGCTAAGACGTAAGGGAAGAGTTCTTCACACTTAAATATGTGTGAGATACGCCCTGACAGATCTTTTTTCACACTCCTTCCAAATTCTCATTTGAGGAGGCTGCTTAAGAAAGGAAGATTTTTTTTAGGCTTATAAAGAAATTAATAAGTCATCTTAAGCCAAAGAGGGTGACTTTGGAACAATTATTCTCATAAGCAGACTTCTGATATCCCTTCAGAACAAAAACTTTTAATACTAAATTACCTCCTTTAAAAGACGTTTAGGACTTTGGTTTTGGGGGCTGAGCCACATAATCTTAACACTGTCTCATCCACCTCCATATTAAATTAAGTATCAAACATGACTTTTCTGCTTTAAAATTTCTTCAGACTTGACAGTGATTGGAAAATAAGCTGTTAAATTCTAATGTTTAAAGATTAACTATGAAGGAAAACTATATAAAGTTCAGTTGTAGCTAAATAAAATGCAGAATTTCAAGCACCTGCTGCTACTATGGCACGATTTACCATACTGCTCAAGGGCAGGATCAGAATTAAACTGTATTATGATTCTGCCATCTCCATATTAATCTTGGTTCCATGCACAGATTTAAAAAGACAACACAAAACACCTCCCTAGCAAATAATTATATTTGTTAAACAGTCTTAAAAGCCTAGAATTAGTTAAAAAGGCAGATATGTCTGATGGCCCTATTCTTAAATTGATGTATTTCACTTTCTCTTTAATGTGGCCGTAAATTGGGACATGCCTTGCCACTTGAGTATGTTACAGGATAGCCCTCAGGAGTTAAACCCATTTATTTACTAGTATTGGATAGGTCTCTTAGTTAGCCAAAAGATTGAAGATGACAACCCTATAGAAACAAACTGGCCAATATTATAGCAACTGAATGCTGAATATGCCATTGTTTTCCCGTTCAACCTAATTATAATCAGCTTCAACTGACAGGAATTTTCATAGAATATTTTATTTCAGAGTGCCCTGTTTCCCAAGAAAGTACTACTTTACCCAGAAATGATCTAAGATATTTTTGTTCATTTCCTTTGAAATAAGATGTGACTGAAGGGTGCTTACTCTGGACCTAGCCGTGAATGCCACTGAAGAGTATCAACACAACTGTTAATTAGATCTTCAGCTGTGCTTTAAGAAGTCTAAGACCTCCTTTAGAACTCAAGCTGAAACTGTTTGGGCCTAGGAAGACGCTGCCAGCAGCATTTCTATCAGGAAACATGGCTGGGTTAGATTCAAGTAGCCTGGCTGGCCAGTGTGCTGTGGTACACGTTAGCCTTAAAGACAACAGTGGCCTGCAGTGACATGACAGTGGTTATGAAATACCAAACCAAGTGTACCTGTAGTAAAATTTCCTAGTAGTTCCTTTAAATTAGAACTTAAGTCCACAGGGAAGGCACAGTACTAAGAGCCAGACAGGCAGTTTCGAGACCTGGCTTCTTGTTGCAGCTCCATGGCTAAGCTCATCTGCAAATAGGAGACAATGTCAATACTGGGCTGTTCTGAAGCTTAAATGGGAACATAAAGAAGGGTTGCTGTAAAATACGCTACAGTGGCAACATGTGTGCTAAGGGATATTTCAGTCAAAAACAGGAAGTTACTGCTCAGACCAGAACAGCTATCATTCTGCAAGGATTTCCCAGAGACTGTGACTGCTCCGGGTTCAGAACACTCTTCACTTATGTAAGCTAATTCATGGCAGCCACTTACATTCAAAATGCCAATAAGCAGTAATTCCCTTTAAGTGGTCAAATTATTAAAGGCCATAGTAGCTGGAAATGTTTGTTTTTGAAAATGGGAGTAGAAGTGGGAATGTTATTTACAAAACTGCATTTATTGGCATATTCATAAAAGCAAATAACGAAGCACGCTGCAACAGCCTGTGGTAAGCCCCAGTCTTGACTGCCATGGGGGAAAGAACACTAGAATTTTCAAAACTAAATAAGTGTGTAAATATGCTTACATCTTAAATTTATGTAATGGTTTTTTCTAACTCACCAAGAATAATGAGCTGATGGTTTGAGCTTGCTGTATAGAACTGAAGTGCACAGCATCACACTGTCTAACATTTGTGTCACTTATCTAATTCAAAAAACAGTTTCTGAATTCCTTCCCCCTTTATACTGTATTGGTAAGGCAGAATGCAAGCCTTTTGAAGCATTAAAAAAAAGATCTTCACCCAAATAACTATTGGTAACTTGAGGAATTTTTCAGTTGCCTTATGTGAGGATGAATAGATCCAACAAGCACATCTATAATACAAAGTAAACTATGATTTTATTGTGAAATTCTCATAGATGGAAAATTAAATTGAATATTTATTCTGTCCATTTCATTTTACAATAATCTTACCACTTATTTTTGTACCATGTATTTCAATTGCCTGTTTAGTGAAAATAAAAAAACCTGTAATTTTTGGCTTGTTTTTAGTTTAGATTTTATCATTGAATTAAAGACCCCACCATAAAATGTGTTGCCAAGAACCACATCCCAAGCCTCTAAGTAAAGAATGTTTTGGCTGCTACTTCAACCCCAAGGAAACAATCTTTGATTTCTATCACCTTAAAATGCCAGTGTTAGCAGAAGATTTTTGTTTCCCACAATAAAACAAACCTTAGGATCGTTAAGGTCCTATTTAACAAAATTTTTCCCATGTGCAAAATTCCACTGAAATAAATATATTTCTCTCATTTATCATTCCCACCCAGCCTTTGTGTTTTCAGTTAATTTTTAGGGATATAATTTCTAAAATTAGGGCAATCAAGTAATAAATTTCCTGCTTTCTACTTGAATGCTTTAACTCTCCTCCACTCTAAGTTATACAGTTGTGGAGGATAAAACAGTTGGCATCTGACTCGAGCACGGAGGAAACAGTATTATACAGCACACGCATTAGTCTGATCGTTGCCAATTAGGAAAGGTGTGCTGCTTTCCCACCTCTACCACAGATGAATTAACAAAATGTTGATCAATGAAGCCATTTCAAATGGTTTTCAGGGAAGGATCAGAGATAACAGGCTAGATAGGGTAACATTCTAAACTTGTTTTCCATACAGTTAAATCTCCCTGAACCGTTAAGCCTGGTTAAATCCCTACACAGCACAGAAGGCTCTCTAGGTCATTGATTGGGTATATTATCTGGAAAGCATATTGGATGCTGCTCTAAGCTAGGTCTGCAATGCCCTGCTTGCACACACAAATGGCCATTTTGAGTATAATGCAAGGTTCTATTTCCCTTTAACCATAAGAATTAAAACTTATCACCATACAGTTTGATATTACTTCCAATAAGTACAATATTTATTAAACATATCTTCAGTTGTTTTGTTACATAGTGTGCAACAAATTACAATATTCTGCAGCCACAAATTATATGCAGAGTATGAAGAAACTATTAATCAGATAGTGTAATCTTTCCGTTTATAACTCTACAAGGAAGAACTAGCAAATCAGATCTTACATATAACATCTCACTAAACTTTATGCATGGAAAGTGACAGACACTGGTTGTGCTGTTTGATACAAAATGGCTGAACTTCATCTTCAGAAGACTAAACCTGACGTCTAAACATGCCAATATAAACATCAAAACAAAATATATTCTAACCAACCACGGGAAACAGTCTGGTATCAGGAAAGCAACAAAGATTACACACATTATTTTATAAACCAGCACACAAAGGTTTAAAACAGTTCTGAAAATGAAGTTAGCTGTCTTGAGTCAAGGGAATAAAAAAAAAGTCAGTATTGACCATTTACAATCTCTGACCTTTGTGGAGACGGTAAGAATCTGTTGTAGTGCAGCTACATACAGTACAATTCAGGCAATTTTGTTTTCACTTGGGTTCAGATTGCAAATTCATTGCTGTGAGAAAAGGACGGAGGCAAATCTTAGCAGCAACCTCCACCTGACTGCTTGACCGGAGTGCTCTGAATTTTAACGTTGGACTTCTCTGCACCGCCAGCTGTTGCTCCAGGACCCATTCGCTTTTTAATCTCAGCTGCCATGGTCATGAAAGACTGTTCTACATTCGTTGCGTTCTTAGCACTGGTTTCCAAAAATGGAATTCCAAGGGAATCAGCAAATTCCTAAGAGAATAATAAGGCACAATTAACACTGAAAAATCTTTTTCACTTAGTACATTTCTATCACCTGAAATGGGGGGTGAGGAAGGACTAAGTTTACCGAGTCTAAACAGAGACTACGTGAATTGTCACTGTCAGAGTGTTCTAGTGCACGTATTTTAAATACCCATATTCTAGGTGCACATATTTTAGATACTCCATAGCCATACATAATGCAGGTCAACACCTTCAATTCAGTTTGAGCATCAAACTTTAAACATACCTTTGCTGTCGTGTAGTCTACCACCTTCTTTGTGGTCAGATCACATTTGTTCCCTACCAACAACTTGTTGACGTTTTCACTGGCATAACGATCTATTTCCTGCAGCCACTGTTTAACATTATTGAAGGACTCCTAAGAAAACGGACATTTTTAAGAACGCTAATACAATTCTGGACACACGCTCTAATGAAGCAAGTGATAAACAGAAGTGTCTTTCTTGACCTACGAAGAGCTAGTGAGACAACTAACTACAAAATAATAACTATAGTGCTGTGAAAGAAGTGCACTGATACATTAAAATGACTACATAAATGAACAAGAAATCAGAATTTGAAGGCTTGAGGATGCAAATACCTTATCTGAGAGGGAAAGAGCTCAGTATTAAACTATGGCTCAGGCAAATCCAATTGTATGGAAATATGCAATTTAAATGCACTATAAAACCTGGGTTTTGAAATTTGATACAATTTTGGTTTATGAATAAGATGGCCTACTCAGTGTTAACTACTAGAGATATCAAAAGAGATTAAATGAATGGGTCCCAAGATGCTTGTTTTCTTTTCCACAGTCATATTTCAGGGAGGAAAATTTTCATTTTTAAATATTTCATGGCAATGACTTGAGATTTTTGAAATTAGCATTTTTTTCTCCTGTTGATATCAGTCACCCAGTACTTCTAAATCGCACTGAATCTGAAGTCTATGATTCTAGTTATTTCCTAATTAGCTATGATTTCACAGTTGAGGTGAAATTTAACATTTGCTCTAAGAAAAATAAATTGTAAATTTCAAAATTTCTTTTTTTTTTAAAGATTGGCACCTGAGCTAACATTTGTTGCCAATCTTTTCTTCTTCTTCTTCTCCCCAAAGCCCCCCAGTACACAGTTGTATATTCTAGTTGTGAGTGCCTCTGGTTGTGCTATGTGGGACGCCACCTCAGCATGGTCTGATAAGCAGTGCCAGGTCTGCGCCCAGGATCCGAACCAGCAAAACCCTGGGCTGCTGAAGCGGAGCTCAAAGACTTAACCACTCGGCTATGGGGTCGGCTCCCTATTCTTTTCTCTGATGGGGAAAAAAAAAAAAGGACCCTGAAATTTTGTAAGTTGCTGATCAAAAGAACAGTTATGACCCTTGGACCACATTCTTCACACTATCTCTATATCCCCCTACACCTTCTCTCAACAGCTAATCTTCAGATATTCACTGTCGTCTTAAAATCTTCCTTGAGCTTATCTTATTTCTGAACCACATCCTCTACAGGCAGAGACCCCTAATCTCGCTTTTGGCAATTCTGTCAGGTCTAATTACTAGGCAAAGTCCTGTTAATACGTAACACCAAGAACACAGTATAAACCAAACTACCCCACAGTTCCCTATGAACTCTTGCCAAAATAATCAGTTATTTAGTTGACAATAAATATATCAGAGTCCCTTGAAAGCAAGTGTAAAACCAATTACTAAATTTTCTATTTATTAAAGGAAAATAGTAAGAAATTTTGGTTGACCAGTTCATTAAACCTTCAAATGACGGGAGAGGAGAAAAATAACAATGTTCTTGTTTTAAAAAGATTATTGCAGGGCTGGCCTAGTGGCTCACTGTTTGGGTTCACATGCTCCACTTCAGTGGTCTGGGCATGGACCTACACACTGCTGCTAAAGCCATGCTGTGGCAGCATCCCACATACAAAAATAGAGGAAGACTGGCACAGATGTTAGCTCAGCGACAATCTTCGTCAAGCAAAAAGAGGAAGATTGGCAACAGATGTTAGCTCAGGGCCAATATTCCTCACCAAAAAAAAAAAAAATTATTGCTTTGAAACAAATTTTTTTAATGTAATTCACTTATCTGGGGGTGGACAAAGTTTTCTGCCATATAAATAATACTGATGGCTTATATGCAAAGTAAAAGAATGTGATATTTATCAAATAGTAACTTCCTACTTTGTTACTATAACACAATTTCCTCCTGGAACTTACCTGATCTGTCACATCATACACAACTATGATGCCATGGGCTCCTCTGTAATAACTGGAGGTGATTGTTCGAAATCTTTCTTGGCCTGCTGTGTCCCACTATTATAAAACAATCAAGAAACCCAAACAACTCCATTAACATAGAGTGGGGGGGAGGCAGGAGTAGGGAGAATAGTTTAGTTTACATAGTTATGGAGACTGTCAGGATTTGATATGGAAACATTAGCCCTCAGCACTCACACTACTAAACTGCATGGTAATGACACCAATCTTATAGGCTCTCTGATATCAGGAACTATGTCATACTTTTCATATTCCCTACAGCTCTTAGCACCGTGTGAGGCATGCAGTATGAAGCCGAGATGGGCTGACTTGATTAGGAAAGCTACCGGCTGAACGTCCCTTTAACACAGTACACTCTCACACGTAAGACAAAACCACTTGCTGGCTCACTTTACCATCCTGGAAAGCACTGAAAGAACCTAATTCAGGTAACTACCAGTCAAGACGGCACTTCAGCCATCTCAGGAAGGTGGTATTTTAATCCTAGGGAAAACAATGTAAAGATGATTCCAAATACTTTTATAAAACTCATTTTAAAAGCAACCTACCTTCAACTATTTAGGCTCAAACACCAAAAACAAATGCTTACATTGTTACATTAAACTTCTGGGTTTTAAAAACTAATTAAAAATATCAAGAGGAAAACTCAATTGTTAGATTTTAAAAGCCTTGGTTTTAACAAAGGAAATGAGAATTTTGTTTAAATTGCTCCTAGACAATGGCTTCTTCTTAAAAAAAAATTTGTATAATTAGAATAGCTACCGACCTCACTTTAAAAGATACTGGTAAAAGGTAACATCTTGATTGATTGGGAAGTAACAGAATGGTTATTTAATGGTTACCACAAAAGAAAAAAAGAAATGGATTTGAAGCCTACAACAAGTAGAGATTAAGGTGCAACAGCTCTTAGCGGGAGCCAATTGTAAAGTTTTGGAGTATACCTGTGAACTTAACATTGCTCCCCACTAATGTCTTAAATGGGCAAAAAAAAAAAAAAAAAAAGGTTCAGTTTCTCTCAATGAAATCACTTCCTTTTCTAAGACCCAGTCAACACATAACTGTTAAAAACAAGTTGCAATTTTGGGGAAATCTGAATATAGACCAGTTATTAGATAATATTAAGGCATTAGGGTCTGTTTTCTTAGATGTGATCATTTACACTGTAAAACAGATGCATATTGAAGTATTTTTGAAGTAAAATATCATAATGTCTGCAATTTACATACTCCAGGAAAAAAAAGTAATGAAGCAAATAAAGTAAAATGTTAATAATCGTTAATCTAAAACAAATAAAAACAAGGCAACACAGCTTCATTACCTTTTTTGTCCAAAGTACTAGCCTGAGAGCTTACAAGACTATTTAGATCTGACGTACCAGTAAGGCGCCTCAAAGGCTTTCAGGATATCCTTGGAGAAACATGGCTTTGGAGTCAAGGTGACCTGACTTCAAAACATCAAATCTAGGTTCCCGATTACTTAACACTAGGGAGAGTCATCCAAAAGTTTACTCACCTATAAATCCTAGATATCACTCACCTTATAAAATTACTAAACTGTTTAAATGAACTAATGTTTGTAAAATGCCTAGCACAGCGCTGATTATAGAAGCTGCTCAATAAAATAGTCCCTTCTCCACCTACCTCCTTCACAAAGATAGCACAAGGAAGAAACTGTTTCTGAATTAGTATTAATTAACTGAATTAGTACTAATTAATTGCCGACTAAGCAATTACCTCCAAAGAGTAAAATTTCTGACATCTCCTTGCCGCTCTGAAAACTCTCCTGATTCTACATCCTATCAGTACCTTTCTCTGTAATTGATTGCCCTTTGTTTATAACCCTCATTACCCCTCATAATCACAGGATAACTGATTTTCCTGTTTGTCTCTCCCGCTGAAATGGGATCTCCTGTGGGGCTATGTTTCATTCATCTCTGTAACCTCAAATCTATCTGAGCTCCTCATGTAATATAAGCATTTCCATAAATACTTCATCAACAATCACAGAAAGAGTGCTTCCATGGCATGGGACTGGACTCCACACCCACCCTGCCCTGATCAATGTTTTGTAATCACTAACTCTGATACAAAGATCCAGATGGCACAATGAAGAGGAAAAGCTGAAAGAACAATTAAAATATAGATCAGCATGATCATTTTGAAAGACGCAGAAAACTTGGAAAGATAACTCAAGCCAAGCAAGATGAAATGTAATGAAGTTATCAAAGTAAAACCTTGCATTTAGATTTAAAAACACTAGTCACAAAGTATACAATAAGACTTTTTTTCTTTTAAAAACAAACCAAAAACCTCAAGATCCAAACTAGTAGGTAATATGGCCACTGAGACAGCAAATGCAGTAAACTCAGGCTTTCTTTGTCCTTGAATGGATTAATGATGAGAAAAGAAGTCCAACAGGGAAAGAAAAGAACGTCATAGTCCAAATCAAGAGAGGATTTACCTCTCTCATGTAGTCCTCACTGGCTGGACTATACCTCATATTTGATTTTAGGAATCACATTTTAATAAAAGGCACTTAAAAATTGAAAGAGTAACCCAAATTGTAAAAGATTCTGAAAACACGCTTCCAGAAAGTTATGACTGACTTAAGAGGCAGAAGGTTGTGATATGATCACTCTATAAAGGGCAAGCTGCCAATAGAAAAGGAATTAATCTCATTCGGGCAGCTCCAAAAGGCAGAGGAATGACAGACAGAAGTTAAAGGAAACTGGCTTCAGCTCAATATAAAGAATTAACAATCAGAGGTTATTTATAAATGAAACTAGCTGCTTTGAAAAGTGATGAACTTCCCAAAAATGTTCAAAAAAAGGCACTACATACGAAAAGGAAATTCCTACTGAAGATGGAATGAAGACTGAGTGAGTGACCTCTAAGATCCCTTTCAGACGTAGCAAAGTATCAATATATGAATGTTTCACAAATATACACCCAAATTGTATGGAGACAAATGATCATTTCACTTCACTAGTTAGATTAGAGGCTTGGGTGTATCTTTCTGAAATATTCTTTATGGTGCCAAGCAGAAAGTTGGCACTCTACATGTAATGGGAAAAATCAATATAGAAGGTAATGTGTTCACTGGCTGAAATTATTTCAAGCTATTTCTGGTAACTATATCCTTGCAAGTCCTAATTTGGAGTGTCAAGTGTATTCACTTGTATCAAAATCCACAATTTGTTTGTAATGTACCTTTTCTTTTCCTCATCAGTAACATAAATACGAAAGGGAGAAACTAAAAAAAGTAACCTATCAAACATCCATTCATCTGGGTATGTCATATCATCAGTAACATTTGTATACTGCCCAAAAGTTTACAAAGGGCTTCCACATACATTATCGTATACACATAGAACTGCAAGATTTGGTTCTCACAATTACTTTATGAGTTAGTAAATCATGTATCATCATACTCATTTTAGAGAGAAGAAACTGAGTCTCAGGAAAAAGGCTGAAGTAAGTTAAACTGACAACTCTGTAACTAATAAATACCAGAAGGAAGACAACAAATCCAAGTTTTCTGACTTGAAATCCAGAATTACATCCCAGTTTAGTGTGTTATCTGTTACATGAAAAGGTCACTGATTTTCTGTTACCTCATACTGAAAGCTGACTCTAAAAGATACCCAGAGATTGATTTTTTTAAAGACGATAGATATGTCCACACTGGTAGTACCCAGGCCCATATTAGAGTGATACTTCTGAACTACTACAATAGCCTGTTTTTAATTTGGGGTTGGGGATGTAAGGATGGAAAGGGAACTAGAATGGCACAGGGACACAAAATATTGAAGACAGAGAGCTGTGGGTCACTCGGTTCTGCTAGTAACTGTAGGCAAGTCATTAAATCTCTTGGCATCCATTTTCTGAGCTGTAAAAAACATGTTAGAAAAGCTAAACTCCTTTCCAATAAAATTCTATGTTACTACAGAATTGGTACATACTATTTAATACATACAACAAACTAAATAAAAACTCTTCAACTAAACCACGTATCAAGAACCTCTGCTGGGTTGCTTTTAATGTTCCACAGTATTCAGCACAATAAAAGACATACAAAAAATGCTAAATATACTTTTCCTATAAGAAAAGGTAAACTTCAACTTAGACCACCACCAACCCCCACCCCGCCCCAATAAAAGCACAAGAAAAAAAGCTGGGACCAAGTTTGACTTAAAACATGTATTTCTCTGCTTTATGAACAGAAAATTCAATGAGGAAGGTAATTTTAGACAAATCATTTTTCTACCACTCTATCAAAGATGGATGATTCTTAAGATAGTTTAATCTTGTTAACATACTTGAAAGTAACAATATATTCTAAATTTATCAAAATAATTTCCAAAAAAATGTCTAGTCCAAAATTACTTACTATCTGAAGCTTGATTGTTTTCCCATCTAACTCTATAGTTCTTATTTTGAAATCCACACCAATTGTGCTGATGTAGCTTTCTGTATATGTATCATCCTGAGGAAGAAAATAGTTAATGATTAAAATTAATATTCAATAGAGTAAATATTATGCTTTTATCTACAAAGTTGATAAACAAAGTTTCTAAGGCATAACACGTTAAGAGGCATTCCACCCTGCTCCAGTACTCAGTTTATGTTCTGATTACAAAGCACCATTTAACCGCAGTTTCTTCTTAAGATTTTTCCAATAGCTATTTTTTAATTTTTCCAAACATCTCTTGACAAATTCTTTACATACATCACACAGCAAAAGGTTTTATATTTTCAATAATTATGAATGATTTTTCTAATTGCTAATCAGTGAAACTTTTGATCCTCTGCTCCGCCCCCACATCTAATTTATTCACCACAAAGCAATGATAATGTCACTCTCCTGGATTTTTTTAGAAGTCAATTTTATTTTCCAGTTGACTTTTTAAAATTGAGATATAATTCACATAAAATTCACCCTTTTAAAGTACACAATTCAGTGGTTTTTAGTATATTCACAAGGTTGTGCAACCATCACCATATTTAATCCCAGAACATTTTTGTCACCCCAAAAGGACACCCTGTACCCAGCTGGCAGTCAACTCTCCACTTCCTCCTCTCCCCTTAGACCCTGGAAACTGCTAATCTACTTTCTGTCTCTATGGATTTGCCTATTCCGGACATTTCATATGAATGGAGTCACATAATATGTGGCCTTTTGTGCTTGGTTTCTTTCTCAGCATAAAGTTTTCAAGGTTCACTCATGTTATAGCAGGTATCAGTAGTTCATTCCTTTTGATGACTGAATAATATCCATTCTTCAGTTGATGGACAGCTGGGTTGTTTCTACTTTTTGGCTATTATGAATAATGCTGCTATGAACATTTGTATACAAGTTTTTGTGTGAACAATGTTTAACCCAATGTTAAACTTTTAAAATTACACCTGTTTTTCTCTAGTAGCTGTTATGACATTTTACTCAGAATGGAGACAAAACTTTTTTTTTTCCTTTAAGTGAAAATGTTTGTGAAAAGATGTGAACAGAGAGATCAGGCTACCCAAATCACTGAACACTCTTAGCAAGCACAAAGTACCACCTAGGATGTATGCTGCCAACAAAGATGGACCTAAATCTAATCAAACTGAAATCCAGTAAGACAGCACTGTCAAACAGATTTCTTTGATGATGGAAAGGTTCTGTAAACTGTGCTAGTCAATACAGTAGCCACTGGCCCCATGGAGCTAGTGAGAACGAGGAACTGAAGTTTTAATTTTATTCAACTTTAATTAACTTAAATTTAAACAGCTACATGGGGCTAGCAGCTACCATAAGGACAGCACAGCTCTGGGGCTTACTTCCAATTACAGAAAAATGAGGGATAAAGGAACAAGTTAAAAGACACTACAAGGAAGCAAAGTGACAAATCTAAAATGTTGGACAATCTACAGGACAACTGCCTCAGTTTCTGCAAAAAGCAAATGACATGAAAAATTCATAAATAAAAAAGTGGGAGGTTGGAAAAATTGTAGATTAACAAAGTAAGCAGCAAAACAACCAAATGGAATGTGTGGACCATGTCTGAATCCTGATTCAAATTAACTGTAATCCTGTTTGAATCCTGATCCAAATCAGCCAACGCACGTCTGAGAAGATCAGGGAAATTTATTTATTTTGTAAGTTGATAATGGTGTTATTTTCTAAGAAAATGTCCAGCTTTAGAAATGCACATTATAGTATAGAGGGGGAAAATGACACGTTTGGGATCTGCATTACAGCACTCCCAAAGAAGAGAAGGGGAAAAGAGGGTTAAATGAAGCCAGTGTGTGCAAGTCTTGATAATGCTGAATCTGATGTGAACATGGAGAATTAAAACAAAAAAGGTCTCTTAAAAAAAACTGTAAAATGTGATCAGAGAGAATTCCAAGTGGCTAGAGGTAGCTATGTTGACTTACCCTCTTCATATATTCACATTTATGCACATAGAGAATCACTGGGTAAAAGGATATCTATTTTTAAAGCACTGAATGCAATTTACAAACTGGTCCTCACCATTACTAGGTACTCATTTTTTAAAAATTTTATTTATTTTTAATTGAGTGTCTAATAAGTAGCAGGTATTACAGAAAGTGGATAGAGAACAAAATGAATGCAATAAACATTCATTTAGCACTTCTACATGCCAAGTGCTTTGTTAGAAATACTGAATTCTTATAAATCCCTAAATTACCCTTACTTGCATGCCTCTGAGCCACTGCATTTGCTATTCCTTTTGTTCAAATTATTAGTGTATCTTTCTGCATACTCCTGTCAGGGACAGGGAAATTACCCCTGCTACCCTTCTTGTGTTCTCATGGCCGGACTAATAATAAAACTGACACAAGACCAGAATAACAGGAGAAAAATCCAGTTTCATACACACATATTGGAGATCATGGAGCGATGACGCTTGGAGAGTGAACAAAGCAGCAATGTTTATATCTTTTACACAGAGAAACAACAAATTTGTGAGGAATGACAGGACACAGACACTTAGATTTGAGGTATGTAATTAGCGAGGATCTCAAGCGGAGCTTTGGCTTGAGGTAGTATTGAGCAAAGTTTGTTCATATAGACTTTTCAGCCCTGAGTCCCTGACTCTGGGGATAAAGATGCAGGGAGAACACCTTTCACAGGGGAGATTTACTTCCTGCTTTCAGCAGGAACAGAGACAGGAGGGTGGGAATGCCCTTTTTGCTTCTCAAGTATTGGAGATGCTGCTAAGCTCACAATGGTGAATTAAAATTCTCCCTTAAAAGCTTGAATTTTATTATAGTTCGCAAATGCTGTCAGATATTCTCCTTGAAGTGACAGTTTCGGTTCATTTGAGAAAATGTTTGCCCAATACCCAAGTCTACATAATAGTTTGTCTGTCAGTTGTTCTTTCAAGTAAAAAAAATGGTGTTCAATGAAAAAAGCAGCTAGTTCAGCTCGCAACTCAAACTACACAAGTATTTTTCTTTTCCTCAAGACAACCAACACACTCTAGTATGTAGTAAAGGTGCTTATGCACACTCCTCATTTCTTCACAAAGAATATTCTAAAAAGAACCTCAAGGAACAAGATTTTTAAAAATTAATCATTTTTACTGTTTCATCAAAAACACTCAAGTGAAAGTGGCTTTTTCCCTGTGCTCTGTGAGTGCACAGAGGTAAACACCATGACTATGAGTATAGCTGGGGCTTAGCACTGCCTTGATGTGTGTGTGCTGGGTGCCAGCAATTTTACCCAACTCTGCTTTAGTGTCATCAGAGCAAATGTCAACATAGTGGAAAAAGGCAAATGTCTTTTGTCTTAGTACTATTACTAAGTAAGTATTTACTTGGTCAATACTAATAGTTTAGTAGCATTAGGATAATAGCTTTAATCTCATGGACCCCCTGAGAGGGTCTTGATGATCCCCAGGGGTCTTTGGCCCATGATCTGAGGACCAATGATCTAGACAGTGAGAAGGAAAACATGCTAAATTTGAAGATAGTTGATAAAGACCAGGAAGCAGACTGTGGATTCTATTCATTAGGTTGAAAGTTATTTCCCTGTTTGTAAATTGCAGCATATAGAACACTATGCTATTGCCAAAAAACCTTTGTACCAGACCCTGCTTTCTCTTTTTATTCCACTAGTTTCACTTGAAGATTCACTTTCCATCAAGTCACTTTCAACAAGGGCCAAGTATTTTCCCCTTAGCTCACTACCTACGTTGGAATGAAACATTGTTTGACCTCTACCAAGAGTATTAGACACTCTGACTTTAGAACCACACTTTGCTGAATTTCTTTCAAGAGTAACAGCATTTCTTCTATTTAAGAGTTCAAGACATCTGTGAGGATGTACACTTGGAGGCTTTAAATATATAAATTCTGGAAGGATTAATTTATTCTGAACAAAATTGTTTAATCTTTTGTCAATCTAGAAAACATACATGCATAAATTTCTTTAAAGGCATTTCAATTTCAACTTACTGCAAACCTAAGAAGGAGGCAAGACTTTCCAACCCCAGAGTCGCCAATCAGAAGTAACTTGAATAAATAATCACTGCAAAAAGAAAAAAAAAATCACATTAATAAAAAGCATATTGCATTGTAAGTTCTACAACAAAAACACAGCCAAGACCAACGGCACACTGAGGAAGACTAAAGCCCATGAATGGCTTAACAGCAGCCAAAACTGCAACCAGCAGAAGTTTTTTTGATGAATCACTGAACATGACAGACTTATGTAAAAGTAAGATAGGCAATGCCACCCTTAATCTCTGAGATCGGCCAACTCCTACTTCCAAGGAAAGAATGCAAGGAAACATAAGTGACGTGCATTCTTTGAGAGTCTCAAGAAACTTATGCTAGATAAATCCCACTCCTCTGCAGTTTTAGAATACAGGGAGTTAACTTTCCATTGTTCTTGCCTCTTGCCGATAAAACATAAATCTCTCCTTCAAATTCTAAGATGAAATCATTATTCCACAGCAATCCTCAAACAAAGGAGCTTTTATGATCCTTTCCTAGCATCCACCTGAAATTCTCCCCTTAAAGAAAAAAAAGATCATTTAACTTCTGAAAGCCTGTATTATAAATATTTTAAGGTGGAGATATGGTAAAATCAAAGGCTGTTTATGCAAATCCACAACTTTACCAACATTCTAAGCTTGCAGTAAAGCCTATTTCAGAGAACATTGACAGCTAGGCTCTGTTTATGTACATTTTACCATTGCCGAGTCTAACTCAAAAACGATCCCCAGTGACTCCCTCATGGACCTGAAGAGGAGAGACTGTCTACCTATGGTCTCCAAAGGAATCATAGATCCTTCCCAACTCCGATCACTTCTTTATGTTCTTTTAAGCAATTTCAAAAGGACAAAAAAATCCAGAATTTACAAATATTTTTTCAGTAAATAAGATTTTCAATTCTTTTCTTTGCGATTTAGCTTTTTAAAAATGCTACCTACTTAAGGCGAAACCCAAATATCCACGATTTAAATTTAGATTACAATTATCATATTTACATGTAAGATATAAAACTTTCAGAAGTGATAATCTGTGTGAATATTCATTGTTACCTAGGTTTACATAGTCATATGTATTACTTAAAACATATCTTTTTAATTTTACCAAGTTACCATAAATATGCTTATTGTCCCTAATTATGGCCAAAGGAAAGAATAAAAAGAAATCCAAAGTGCCCTAGTCAGCAGCAAAATAAAGGTCACATAAGAAAAAAAGAAGCTTTTAAACAAGTCCTCAAGAAGAGGATTAAACTAAATAACATCCCTTCCAGGGGCTGGCCCCGTGGCCTAGTGGTTAAGTTTGCGCGCGCTCCACTGCAGGCGGCCCAGTGTTTCGTTGGTTCAAATCCTGGGCGCGGACATGGCACTGCTCATCAAACCACGCTGAGGCAGAGTCCCACATGCCACAACTAAAAGGACCCACAACAAAGAATATACAACTATGTACCAGGGGGCTTTGGGGAGAAAAAGGAAAAGAAATAAAATCTTTAAATAACATCCCTTCCAGTCTGAGATCATAAAGAAAAAAAATGAGGAGGGGGATAATCATTGCAAAAATTTACCCTTTATAAATGATACTTAATATCAAACAACTTTCATTAGGCAGTGAAGCTGCCGACTGACTCTAGTACTACTGATAGCTTCCTCCTTAATTAGATCAAATAAATTCTTAAGAATGCTGCACACTGACATTAGCAATGAGTACATGTTAAAATTTACATTTCAGTCAGCAAGAATCATCACATCATTGATACTACCATAGTTACTTAGTTTTTAACAGAAATTTTTTTTTTAAATTTTTTTAAAGATTTTATTTTTTCATTTTTCTCCCCAAAGCCCCCCGGTACATAGTTGTATATTCTTCGTTGTGGGTCCTTCTAGTTGTGGCATGTGGGATGCTGCCTCAGCGTGGTTTGATGAGCAGTGCCATGTCCGCGCCCAGGATTCGAACCAACAAAGCACTGGGCCGCCTGCAGCGGAGAGCGCGAACTTAACCACTAGGCCACGGGGCCAGCCCCCTTTAACAGGAATTTTGACACAGTAGATGCCCTGAATTTACCAATCTCGCTGAACACAGTGCGAGGCATCCAGTAAACACTCAATAAACATCCCTTGAATCAGCTGTACTGACCTGTCACAACAAAGAACAGCAGTGGGTCACAGATGTTGCCTAACGTAGCATTCATTACCTTAAAGATCAATTTCTCTATTTCAGAGTAACCATAAGGCTTGAATAAACATGAATTCTTCCTAACTGTGTTACAAATTACATTATGGTTTCAAGAAATTAAGTCAATTTTTAAAAAATCACCTTTTTCAATTATCACATTCTTTTTAAATTTTACAGAATTATTTCAAAACTATTTATGTGTTTCTGACAGTTTAAAGTTCACAGCCATTATAAACAATATGAAGAACTGAGCACTCTTCTCTGCAATGAGATAATCATTGCTAAAGAAGACTACTTTGTTCTCTCCCAAACCATTAGCTTTACTAACATGACAAGAGACATGGAGAACAGCAAACAAAATCTAACTCACAAACTTCTTCCCCTTATTGAATACACACAGCTGGAGAGTGTGATCAACAGTATGCTACTTGCATTGGAACATTTTAAATTATCACTACCATAGTAGCTTATTTCTAAACTATTAATATACTGAATGTTCAAGAGAATTCAGAGATTTGAGACTGCTTAAAGATATTTCTGTAACTGTAATTTATAAAACAGAACACAGTAAGAGTGTTGACAGAAAATATGCAAATCTAAAATTAGAAAGCACAAGGTCAGAATTTTGGTACAAAGAGTCAAGAATAATTTAGCAAATGGTAAAACTTTAAATGAATTTTTTCTTTTTCCCTCAAGAATTTGGATTAAGTTTTCAGTATACAATATAATTTTGACTTAAGTGAAAAAATTGCATTATGCTAGCTGAGAACTCTATAGAGTTATAATTGTAATCGTCATTCTCCTAAATTAAGACTATCTAGTAAATCCTATCCACTATTTCCAAATCAGAACTTACTGAAGTCTTTTTCATGCGTAATTTACTATGACACTTCATACTTTCTCCCCCTAAGTAGTTGGAATCTGTTTTTCAGCACTCTTTTTTTTTTTTTTCAGTGTTGAGGAAGATTCGCCCTGAGCTAACATCTGTGCCAGTCTTCCACTATTTTGTATGTGGGTCACCACCACAACATGACTGCTGATGAGTAGTATAGGTCAGTGACTGAAAACCAAACCTGGGTGGCCAAAGTGTAGCATGCCAAATTTAACCATTAGGCCATGGGGCCAGCCCCTGCACTCTTATTTTTGACTTATCTGTGAATGAGAAGATAAACTGACTTATTCATCTGTATATCCAAAATCTAGCATTGTGCTTTTAAAAAGCATACGCTAAAAGATTAGAGGACATTTTAATTTTGTATTTTTAATCAGGCCTCTTTCATTGTGAGATATATACAAAAAATATCTATGGCCATCCTCGATTAATATTTTGGGCAAAATGGAAAAAAATGGATGGGAACATGGCATGTTAAAAGGACATAGGAGGGACCGGCCCTGTGGCTGAGTGGTTGAGTTCACAGGCTCTGCTTCGGCAGCCCAAGGTTTCGCCAGTTTGGATCCTGGGCGCTACTCATCAAGCCATGCTGAGGTGGCATCCCAAATGCCACAACTAGAAGGACCCACAACTAAAAATACACAACTATATACCAGGGGGCCAACCTGAAATTTCTCTCGATAGCCAAAGCAGAACAATTTGAGCCACAAAATAAACAACCATGTACTGGATTATAACCCAAAGAATAAAATAAATATCCATGAGTCCGTAGTACTGGTATAAATCATTAAATAAATAAATAGCAGAGAAGAGACAATCTTCCTTATAGGATTCCAAATAATACACATAGAAGGAATGAGAGAAAGAGAAAATCAGTGGTAGAGATCACCACAGTAATAACTGCCACTGGCAAGATCCACCAATGAATACTAAAACTAGTGAGTGAAACTTTGAGAAACAGAATATCTGCATGCCCCCCAAGTATGTACCCCAAAATATTTATTTATTACTGTGGTGGTCTTAACATACGCCTACAAATTCTTTGAATACTCCTCCCCCTAGGAGATGGAGCTTAATTCCCTTCCCTTGAGTGTGGGCTCTTAATGACTGGTTTCTTAGAGTATGGAAGGGGAAAAATACTAACTTTAAAATGGGAGAAACCTGACAGATGCTAATTTTGATAAATGTAGCACGGGATGTAAGCTTAACATTAGCTTAACATCTTAAGTTAGGTGAAGGGTATACAGGACTTCTCTGCATTTTTACATTTTACAAGAGTTGTATTTTCACAACTCTTCTGTAAATCTAAATTTATTTCAAAAAGGTTTTAAAAAAACAAACTACGAAGACATTAGTGAAATGAGCACAAGCTGGCTTCTCATATTTTTTAAACATAAGAGAGACATAGTCTGTGTTTTCTCAAGTTAAACAGTTAAGGTAAGACCGACAGATCAAGGCTGGATGGAAGGGCAGACTCAGGGGAATTAACAGGCTTTTAACAACTGGATGGTAAGGTGTCAAAGATAATAATAAGTAAAAACTTATTTTTTGCTATCAGTTCCTCCTGTGAGTCAACTCTTGGTTTACTTTAGCAATACTGGAGATTCTCTATTTCCATTATTTATGATCTGAACATATCTTGAGACCTATGCCATTTCTGCACGCAAGCACTAACATTTCCTATACCTTCAAAACAGTCACTTTTATGAAAGCATGAAACATTCTTTAAAAAAGTTTCTAAAACAGATTTTAGTTCAGAATTCCATTTATGGAGAACGTTTTCCTTTTCATGAAGTTACCAAACTGTATACATAAAATATGAAGTAGAGGATGAATCTGCTTGTTTCTGAATCTAAAATGCTAATGGGAATTCTAAAATCTCAAAAGAGACTGTTACGTGAAAAGATTACAGGACATTTTGTTTAGTAAAATTCATTTTCATTTTAAAAATTTTTGCACACAGATAAATGATA